GCATATTCTGAAATTCCCAAACTCCCTGTTTTGGAGCAAAGCTGATAGCAGTGATTGATTGTGTGGGTTGATTTTAACACATCCATAGGGTCATCCAGTGAACAGATTGGTTTGGCTCATCTGCCTCTGTACCTGTGGGAGGGATGCAGGTACATGGGGTAATTTTTCAAATCTGTTAGGAGCTGTTTGCATGAGACTTGTGAGTGGTGAGAATGAACAGCCTGATCTGCAGTGCCTGTGAACCAGCGACCCGCTGAGGTGTGGGGAGCCTGGGTGTACCTTTGCTTCCCTGAGGCACTGCTGGGAGCAGAGGTGGCTCCTGAATCTGCCACTGACCGAGGTTCCTCTGGAGCTTCCTGGAGTTGCTCGTGGCAGCAGCTGCATCCAGGGCATGTGTGTGTTGCCTGTCCCCAAGAGCATGCAGGCAGGCCACAGTTGTGCTGCTTCTCAGGATGGTGTGAGATCTTATTTCTGGCTTCAGAAGCAGCTGGAAGCAGGAATTGGAATGTCTTCCAGCTGACACTTGATATGTAAGAAGTAATCTTTGTTTTCCTTACCTGTTTCTCTCAGAAACTTGTGGTGCCCTTGTGGGGCACACCACGTATTGCCCCGCTCACAGCACTGCCTCTTGTGCTCTTTTGGGTTTGAGAGGGGCTTGCAAAGGCGTTTTGCTGCAAGCTGGTGAGCGTGGATGTCAGACGGGATGGAAGCAACACGTCTGTCAGGTACGAGGCAGATTGTACCATCTAATCTCCCGGCTGTCTCCGCAGCATTTGTCAAGGCCTCCACTGCCCTGCTCTGTTTCATCAGAGCTATCACTGGCATTCATCTAGGCTGGCAGCATTTCAACAGCTGTTAATCCTCTTTGTATCTCTAAACACTGTGACCACTGACAAGCTTCTGTACTCTGAGGTGTCAGAATATCTCAAGATACCTGTGGTGATGGTGGCTGGGTTTGTTGGTTTTAAATCAAGACACCTTCCAATCTATTGACCCAGACTGAACCTGCTGGGGAAATCTTTGTCCCAGTGTCAGGCTTTTAATGCTGCTGCTTGATGTTCACAAATAATTTCACCTAAAATCTGATTAATTTCAATTTCCTCATGCTTGTTTTGCTCAGTTTTCTGTTTTACGTGTTACTGCAAGTAGCACATGTTTCGCTGAAGTTGTAAGGAATGTGGTTTAATGTCAGTGTGAGAATGAGCTGGCAGGGTTTTCTCTTTATGTTTCAATTACTTTCCCTCCTGAAATAACCCTGAGAACTCAGTCTTCTGCTGTAATGTTTTCTTACTTTCTTTGCTGTATGTTCTGGAAAGGGCCTGGGCAGTGTAGAGAGGTGTAGTAGTGAGTGCTGGAGTTTCTCTGCATGTTTGCAGCCAAGGAGGAATGCTGAATTAAAATTGCTCCAAATTTAGTTCTAAGTTTTAAAATTGATTCCCTTTGGAAGGGAATTTTTAGCATAAGAGTGCTTTGGAAGAGTGGAAAGCAAGGGTATAGCAGCAAATCTGTTGTAGAAAAACAGCAGGGTAAAGGAAAGTGGTTCTGTTGCACTTTAGGCTCTGGTTATGTATTTTTACAACTTCTTGGTGTTTTTATTATTTGCTACAAACCATCATTTAATAGCAGTGAAAAATCTTTCAAACTAACATTTCTTTGCTTAGTTTGTTTGTCCTCTCTGGAGAGCTCTCTCCCCACATGACAAAGCTCTAATGTTCTGAAGTTGACTCCCCTAAGGCTCAGCTTTATTGAGAGAAGTGAAACATTTTAGGTGGTTCATTCATTCTTTCTGTGTCTTTTGTTATTTGAGCCCTTTTGGTGTTCTTTGGTCATGTTTTTAAACTTATTTCTGCAACTAAGACTGCCAGGAGCTTTATTTAATAATAGTTGAGGTCTCATGTTCAACTTTTTCTTTGTGAGCTGCCATTTTATCTCAAGCATCAAATATTGTAAAACTAAATTAAAAGCAGCGTTCATGTCTTGTAATTTCATGTGGAATGTTCTCTCTTTTACTGTACCACTGAATATCATTTATGAAGATAAAGGACTTCACTAAGACTACAGGCATCTCAGACTTTGTTTCAAGTGCAAATACCACACCTTGATCCTGCTGAATAGCCCTTGTGTGGAGGTGACCCTGCTGAAGTTTGGGGGAAGTGCTCTGCTGGTTCCTGGCATACCTCCTTGTTTGCAACTATATTATAAAGCTCTCAAAAGTTCTAGGCCACTAGAACATTCTCTCCTGCCATAGCATGGTGGGTAAACTGCTGAAAATGAAGCAGATCTTCTGTCTGAAGTAATACACATGAGAACACTTGGGGAATTATTCTCTGTTAGCAGAAGCCCCAGATCACAGAAATGGCTGTGCCTGTGCCCATGCTGAAAGGCCCTTCTCTTGCCCATTTAGGCCATTTGTTGCTCATTTAATGTTTGAGACAGCAGGAGTGTGACTTTCCCAAGGCTGGAAAGGATCCAAAGGCCAAGAAAAATGTATTTTAAAAATCTGCTTGTTGAACAAACTCAGATTTAAATGGTAGCCCCTCTGTTTTTGTTACTTGGGGAAACATTTAAAGGTACTGATTCATAGCATTAGAAATATTGTTTTATTAGGTTTTAGAGTTTTTGAGGGGGAGAGGTCTAAACCAACAGCAAGAGGCCCAGTTGAATCGCACGGAAAGATGTTTCCTTCTTGTTTTTAAAACTCAGCAGCTTTATCTGCAGGTTGAAGGTGTTCTGTGCCCCTCCTCAATCTTTGCATGATGCCTGGTGGTTGCTCTGAAACCAAGTCTTTCCTCCTTTCCCTCACTGAGATTCTTGCCTCTCTGTTCAGACTCTCATTTGCCTGCTTTTAGCAGCTTCAGAATTCAGAACTAAAGCCTGGGTTCCTTTCCCAGCTATTTTTGTCCGTGTCCATCGTTGATGTTGTTGAAGATGAACCTGACTGAAGTACTGGGCAGTTGAAGTCTCTCTAATAAACTAGGTGAGGTTGTGCCACGACCACTTTAATTGACAGTACATCCAGCAAATGATTCCATTGGCTGTTGTTCCTTTCTTTGGGAGGGTTAAACGCGACCTCGTGCTGGGTCTCACGTACAACATATTTGTTCCTGTTTTCCTCTCCCGCTGCTGTTTCACTGCAGAGTGCTGCAGGCTAATGGGATCTGACGGGACTACTTCCTATTGCCCAAAAAATGCTGAAATTTGGTACCTTGCTTTCTCTTTTTCCCAGTTTCTCTCATTCTAATCTCTCAGATCCAGTCCCTTTGAGAAATCAGACAGTATGAAATATGAAAATTGCTTGGGTAGTAATTGGAGAAACAGTGAGACCTTTGAAGCCCAATGGAGATAACGCTTACATCTACTTATTCACATTATTTAATTTTTAATGGCAAATTTAATTAATGAAGCACAGGTCTTGTGGTTTCATGTGTGAATAAGTAACAGCAGGGAGCTGTAAGTCATGAGGCCTGTTTACAGGCCAGAGAAAAAGGCACCATTAAAAACTGAACTTTTCAATATAGGAAGGAGAAAAATGGATTTAATAGCATTGAAGTTTGACCACTTTGTAACAAGTAAGTAAACAAAAACATTAATGATAATTTGCCGGTAAAATGCATTTTGAAGTGGTCAGTCCTCCATGATTTCTCAGTTTTAATCTGTCTCCTAGGTCAAAGTTTGAAAAAGCAAAATCTGTTCTGTGTTTCTTTTGCTATGTAACATAAATTCAGGCACCAGAGATAAAACGCTTAAATATAGCACCTTGAAGCCTAGGCTCTGAAAGCCTTTATAAACCTTCCAATTAGCTGAGCTTCACACAACTTCAGAGATACAGGCAGCTGTTATCCCTCACTTGCAGGTGGAAAATGGTGACTTGCCCAAGATTGCACAAATGGCAGAACCACTAATAGAACTTGAGTTATATCTGTCCTTTCCTTTTTCCAACCACTGAACAGTATGTTGGCTCATCCTGCGCAGGACCACAGCTGCATTTATGGGAAAATAAATGAAGAAGGGCAAGAATAATATTCTATATAAAATGACCAAATTTGGGGAGAGACGAGATAGCAGCTTGAACTGGCCCTAAATGAATAGCTGTCTTCTCTTGCAATACCATTTTGTCACTTTTTTTGATTGATTATTGCATATTTTCTCCTTGTGCCTTTTCAGAGTGAGAGCCTTGCAGACGAGCTTTGAGCAAGGCAGTTGCCAGTGGAGTCCAGCAGCTTTGCCTAAAGCAGCGTTATCAGTGGTTTAGTGACACAAGACCTTGTAGTGCAGCTGCTGGGGGAGTGCAGCCTTTCTCTCCTGCTGATTGTGCCTGGGAGGCTCCTCAGTGCAGCCCAAAGGAGGGAGGAATTCATCCTCTACATTTAGCGACTGAGCAGTTGTGAGCTGAAACTCTTTCTGTGCAAGTTCAGGAGAATTTAATGCAAACCTCTTAAGCCCTGCAGCAAGACACTCAAGACTCTGTTTGGCAGCGCCTTGGCTGAGACCTGATACGCCTCCCTGTGTTGTTAAAAGGGAAGCAGCCTGCATAATTTTCTTTTAAAGAATAAGTAACATAAGTAGAAGCACTGAAATCCAAAATGGATTTTCCAGTGCTAGCAGCCAATTTTGATACTTGTATGTCAGTAACTTAAAAGATCCTTCACAGCAATTAATGAAAGAAGAGAACAAAACATGACCAAACTCAAAATAACTCTGTGCTGGAAACACCTTGTTTTTGTGGTTACATGGAATAGCCAAAGCTCATGGTTGGTTGGTAGCGACCTTTTCCCCCTCTTTCCTTTCACAAAGGTGAACCTTGGAATGAAGGACGTGTTATAGCCTTGATGCATTTTGCTGAGAATAAAATCGACTCTTAAATATTTCTGGGGTTCTTTGAACTGAATATTCTGTTTGTTGTTGGAAATTGTTATTAATTATAGAAGATGACTTTGTGACAAGATAAGATCTGAGACGCCTTTAATTTTTAGAGCTGAGCATTCTATTCTTTGTTTCAGAATGCAGAGATCTACAAGCTGACATCCGAGCAGTATCAGGAGGCAGCCGCCAAGGCAGAGGAGCAGATAAAGTGAGGAGCCATTTTTTTTTCTTTTCAGCACTTCCAGTTGCATTTCATAACATTTTGTGTGTAGTTTCTGGATGTTCTTGTAAACAGAGTGTGAAGTTACCTCCTGTCAGGTACTGAGGGGGCTGAGGAGGTGTAAGCTGGCATCCTCTCTGTGCCAAACTTAACGGAGTTTAGTATTAAGTTGGTAGATCTTTCAAGGAAGGGTGAGGGAGAAGAGAGGGACTTTAAAAATTAATATTAAATAGGTACTAGGGTTTTCAAAGTAGCAATGGAACATGTGTAATCTGTTCCAACTTTGACCCACTGTATTTAACCTATACACTGTAGGATTTGGCTGCTGCAGAGGGGTAGGAAGAATGGCACCACTTCAAAAGTTTTAATTGCCCAGGGGAAAAAAAAAAGGTAAACAGTCTAAATCTTATCCCTGTTAATTTCAAATTAGAGTTGTAATTTTCATGAATGCTTTCGTAGAATAGGTGCAATGATTTTTCTGGTCTTCTTTGTTGGCCTTAGCACAATAAGTGGACCCTTTAATGTTGCCTTTTTACCATGAGTATATAGAGTGTTTAAATTATATTTGTATTTGCCAGTAGTGTTATATAACTAATTGTTCCACATGCACTAACAGCTGCCCAAGAAAAAATATTTTCTATAATTCTTAAATATTAATGAGGCTAAAGCAATTACGTTGTCAAGAGCAGCACTCAGATCTCAGTTGGGTAAACAGTTGGCCAACATGCAATAAACTGAAGTAGCAGCATATGTAGTCCGGTTGGGTCCAATCCAGACTCTACAATACTTAATTGCATAAATAGATAATATAGTAGTGATGAATATATTAGTGGGGTGTGCAGTATATTGTGCTGTCTTTATTTAAAATTATGTTTGACTGCCAAAGCATCACATAACCTGTTGTAATTTCACATTTTTGTTTGGACAGTCAAGCAATAAGTTGCTAAAGAAGCCAAAACAAGGCAGCTAACACATTGCTTGCATTTCCATCCTGTTTTCCACAGCAGAATTATAAAATCTCTTTTAAAATAAAATTTAAAAAATTCATAGGATATAATGTTCTTATAGTCTTTGATCAATTGGATAATTTCTTGGATTTGCTTCTGCAAACGTGTCATCAATTGTTGTGAACTTGTGTAGTGGTGATTCATCCTTGTGACTTGGTAAAGGAAGCGACTGGGACCTGGTATTATGTTCTTCACTTACTATTACAGACTGTAACTACCTTATTTTTTATAGGTAGTCTGAAGGTTGGTTCCTGATGTTTCCATTTCCTTTGGTCTGTTCTGTTTCTTGTGGAAACGAAGACTGGTAATGTGGGAAACTCAGGAATGCAACCATGTTTTGCAAAGGTTAGTGGCAGAGACCAACACAAATGCTAATGAATTCTTTCTTTCAAGATTCAGAAAGTGCACTTGTAGTCTCTTAAGGGTTTCTTTCCCTTTTCTTTGAGCCTTTATCATCTAACAGTCCCTGGCTTCTGGTCTCATTGTACAGTGCTCTGCTATTTGATGGCAATAGGAACTTGAGCCATTATAAAGGAACAGTTTCCTTGGGCTGTCTTCTTTGCAGCAAAAAGAGCCACCTGCCCTAATGTGAATTTTTTGTGAAAAAATAATGTGCCTGGGGGCATCTTGAAAAGGGACAAGATGAGTGGCATGAGTGAAACTGAGGGTGACGTTGAATATCATGCATTCTAGTTCTTTACAGCAGAAATTGCCAGCACCAGCCAGGATTGCACTGAGCTGAGCATTGGAGTTCATGATCTGGGACTGATAATGCCTTTTGATAATTGTATATGCAGGAAGAATCATTGCTTTCCCCCATCAGCCTGCAGTGTGTCACTTCCATCAGCCTGCAGTGACTCTTTTCAGATTGGTGCTTTGTGTACAACACACTGTACAAACACTCTTAATGTTGTGCCTCACACCTGGGTTGTGATATGGCTGGGATGGGGTCAGGGGGAGGTTCCTTCCTACACTGGCATCCATGCTCAATTGGTAGGACTTCAAGTCTGTGTGTTGTGAGGTTCTCTTGTGAGGCATCTTACATTCAAGTCTTTCTCCAGCCTGTTTATGGTAATAACCTACAAGATCTTTTGGCTTCAGTGGAAAGAATAGTTTGTGCATCCTGTTTTTCACTTTTGTCATAGACATACAAGCACAGTAGGTTCTAAGATAGGTTAGACTGATTTATGCAGATCTGCCTCTGGTTCACAGGAATAAACTGACACTCCTGCAAAATTATGTGAAACAGAATATTAGCCAAAGTATGAATGAAGTACAGGCTTGCCTGTTTCCTATGCCGGGCTATGATGCCTCCTTAAGGAAAAGAAACCAGGAGTGGCATTTTCTTCACCTGCAAAGAGTCCGTATCCTTCACCATAGTGTCTCTTCCCGAGCTTCTGTTACCCCTGTCACACTGTGAAGACATGCTCCTGGCACTTGAGCCTTGTGAGACCAATCTGCCCTGTGTTTGTTCTCCTCTGCCACTGTGTATCAGCAGAGCTGATGGAGGAAAAGGGAAATAGGGCTGGGGCTCTTTCCACAGTGAGTACCCTGTTTCAGAGTCCATGTAGAAGCAAAGAGAAGAAGTTTCTGAAACAAAACCCCAGTGTTTTCTTGGCATTTAATGACTTTTTAAATTCTTTTATCAACACTTACAGCTCTGCACAAGTGGTCAAGTGTTCTACAGACTGTTTCAACTCCTTAGTGGTTGTCAAGCATTGCAGGATTTAGGAATATTGTACACCTTTCCACCAGTGATCCTTCACAGCATGCCTGTGAGGTAGGCAAGTAAACCTTCCTATCTCCCTTTGTATAAAAACAGAAGTGAAGTACTTACTGCTGAGCCTCATATTAACTCACTGACACAGTCATTAGCTCTTGGTTTGCACTTCAAGGCTTGATGCCTGCATGGCCTGACTTGTGCAATGGACTTTGTTCCTCGTCTCTTCACCTGAAGCCAGCCTGCTCTCGTCTCCACATACCTCCTATCAGTGTGTCTCCTTCTCCTTTGTTCTGGGCTCTGTCCAATCTGTTTTATTTCCTCCCAGGAAAAAGATCCTAGCAACAAGATACCACTGAGCACAGCTTTCAGCACCTTAAGCAACTTGCCCTTGTTGCTTGTATGCTGTGGTGAATTGGACAGTTGCCATGGACATATTGTCTCAACTATGTTGTTATAATTGGTGCATTATTATTTTTCTCTTTTGTTAACCAAGAGAATTAAAGTCAGGGGACCTAGAACTTCCCCTGTCTTCTTTCCCTGTTTAGCAAACTGCGCACATCAGTAACCACCCACAAAGGAAGCAGCATGTAAATAAAAAGCCAGTGCTCCCTGCCCTTCCCTTCGTTCCACATCCTTTTCTCAGTGCTCATAGAGCCATGACTCAGACTGGGTTTAGAGAAGACAACTTGCTAATCCCCTCCCTGCTACAGAGAATAAAATGGCATTTCATTCCAAGCTCTATTAATGCACTCGCTCCAGGGATAAAGCAGCACTCCCAAAAGGCAGTGGCCAAATTTTCTTTCTGTTGCGTTGTCTTTGTCTTCTTTTGAGTGTTACATTTAGATTAGCTTCTGAGGATTAAATGTTATTACAGTCCCTGAATCTGTTAAGGGGAAGGAAAAAACCATCAGTAAAGAGGTTATGGCTTAGTGCAGCACTCTAGATTTATCCTCAAAATGTTGATTTGGTTTTTTTTGGGTTTTTTTTTGTGATTTATTTTCTTTTGTGAAGGTTGTCTTATCACTTTTTAAAAATTTTTTTTTTTTTGTAGTTGTTACTTTTGAATGCAAGAATTGGCCTGGGTGGGGATGTCACTCTAAAAGGTAAAGCTGCAGGAGTCAGGTGAGGGGATTAGGAAGCTGTTAAAAAATAAAATTGTTCTGAAGCTGAGTTTCCCTCTGAGATCTCCCTATAGTTTTCAGAACTGTTTCTGAAGCTGCTTACTAATGACTGTTGCTTTGCATGTTGTGCTGAGAGGACTGCATATGCTTTATGCTGTTATCAAGGAGTGCATAAAGAATGTCAGTTTCTTATCCTGGTGGAGATCAGCTGTGAATCCAAGGCAGCTTTCCAATGGAGAAACTGCCAAAGAGATTTACCCCATATAGGACTTAAAATGTAAGAGTTTCATTTAATGGTCCTAAGAGCTTTAAACTTAATGAACATGAGTATTTAAGGTTAATTATGTTAGAAAAACCAGCAAGTAGTAAGCATCCTCCTGGCTGAACGTGGAATAGGGAACCACACTAACTTAGTGAGGGTAGGGGAAGAAAGTTCATAGATGAATTGTCTGCTGACAACAGGGCTTGCTTTCAGTACTCATGGAAATGAAGGTTTTATGGAATTGCACAAGACTTTATGAGGGTGATGGCCCCTCAGAATGGCAAGATCAACTGGAACCTAGAGAACCTACCTTTTTTGTTTCTTTATGTGGATATGGAAAGTTTATAAAATAGTTATGTGATGATACTTGAGTTTGTTAATCTTGAAGTTCTACCATGAGGCCTTGGGTATTTCAACAGAGACCTGTGCCCAGGAGACAAGGTCTGAAGCAGTTATTATATGGACAGTTGTGAAGCCAAAAGAGAAGGGTAAAGACATCATAGTTTTCAAACAAAATTGCTCTGAGATTTCTTCTATCATTAGATTAGATTAGATAAATGATTAATTTAGTGTTGAAATTAAGGGCCTCTCCAACAGGGATTTAAGAGTTTTCAGGAATAAGAGATTGATTATTGCTAGAAGCTCACCCATAGCCTTACCTCAATATAGTGCTTTTGTGCCCTGCAATGATGATAGCTTCACCAAAATTATTTGGCTTCATCACTGTTCTTCCCTTGGTGCTTGCTTTGTGCTAGTTGTTCTTTCTTCTGTCTGCACTGAGTCTGTTTCATAATCTTTAAATAAAGAGATGGGTTGTTAGTCAAAGCTTTTTGGTTTCTCACTTTTATAAAGTTGCTCTTAGTAAGAAATTAAAA